GCCGCCCAACCGCTCAAGCAAATCGTCAATGCGAGGTAGAGGCCCCGCGTTCTTGATGGTTTGAGCGTTGAGGCGTCGGTAGTCAATGCAAAGTCGAAGGTGCTTGTTCTTCTTCCGAACGAAGAGAACGGGCGCACTGTAAGGTGAGCTGCTAGGGCGGATCCAACCCTTGTCGAGTAGATCGTCGAGTTGCGCACGGAGAACCGTGAGCTCCTCCTCGGACATGCGATAAATGCATCCTTTCGGTGGCACGGCGCCGGCCTCAAGTATGATCTCGTGAGAGATTGGCCGGTCCGGCACTATACCGGAGGGTGTCTCAAAAACATCCAAGAACTCGTCTAACAACCGGGTCACACGGGGGTCGGAAGACACCTCTGTGGACGATGAATCGGTCGTCGGGACGGTTCGAAGCAAAGCGATGCCAATCTCTTCGACATGCTCGGAACGGCATGTGTCTCGAAAAGATTTGGCACTCACGAACCTCGGCGCCAGTTGCATCACGAATCGTGAGCGTGCGTCGATGGAAATTGACTGTGTGGTCCTCGCTAGAAAGCCAAGGCATCCCCAAAATGACATTGAAGTCGGTGTCCAACACATCAAAAGTGACGGGTTCACATGCGTGCGGTGCAAAGTACACCGGGACAGCCGAGATGTAACGGTCTAAAAGCTGTTTCGTCTTACCGTCGGCAAGAGCGACCGTCGTCGGATGTGACTTCCTCCGTACTTGTGCGCCAAGGCCAGCCCGAGTCATGAAGGACTGGCTGATGAAGTTGTGAGTTGCGCCGCAATCTAGCAAAGCATTGCAGGCCGCTTACCCAATCTGAATGCGAACGTAGAGCAATGGTGCATTGTTTTCTTCGTAACTTTGCGAGACAAACTCGCGGGCCACCTTGGCAACGTAGCCAAGCATGTCCCCCACCGCGACTTCGTTTACCGTCGGTGAAGTTGGTGGTGCATGAAAGGAAAGATACTTGTGTAAGAGGGCGCATAGGGGTGCACTTTGCGGTCCCGGAAGGTTGCCCGTTGTAGGGAGAGGAATCCAAGCGAAGTCCTCGGGTGTGAGCGGGTCCAAAGCCTCCTCGTTGAACATGCTTGCCGAATCCCTTGATGAAGACGAACTGGCGGAAGAACCTTCGGACGGTGAGAAAACCGCACATGTATCTTGTCCTTGAGAAGCATCCAGTGAAAGAACGAGCCGGGCAGCGAAGTCTTCGAACGAAAGTGGAAGACTCCCGACATCCGCATATGCCTCGGAACAAAGGGCGGTCGTGCGCACAACCGCTTCCGATGGCGTCGAGGGAGGTGTCGAGTCACCCTCGGCGGCGCCTACTTTCCCTGACGGGGTTTCCCCTTGGTGGGGCAATGTGCAGCATCGTGGATGGTGCTGTTGCACCAAAGGCAGTAACGGTACTTGAGTCTCGTGCGATAAGAATTTGCCGAGAGTCCGTATTGTGCCCAAGGTTCGTCGGCGGCTGATCCGGTGCAGAGGTGGACTGAGTCTTCGTCTTGTCACGACCGTGATTGTTGCGCGGCCGGCCACCATCCCAGGCAGCTGCGAACACTTCACCCTCGTTTGGTGTTGCAGCCTCGGTAGAAGTAATGCAAGCCACTTGGCCTGGGTGCCGCTCGTCGTCGCGGAAGATCGGCCGGCGTTGCGGGCTTCGATATTCGTGAGAATGATCCGTGACGAGGTGCTGAAAAGCTTGTCGGATGTGTCGAGTGTCTCTGCAATCTGCGTCAGCGCATTTTGCAGAGCTGGACACGAGCGCATGATAAACAAGTGCTTAATGGCGCGGAAAGCAAGCGGTAGGTCAGGTGTGGAGGCGAGTCTTTGGAACTCGGTAATCCAGTCCTGACTGAGCAGCGTGTTCTGATGGAGCTTGTTGAGCTTGTCCATCGCTTGCAGGTCGGGSGGCTCCACTTGGAATCGCTTGTGCCAGGCGTCGGTCAACTCCTGCCAAGTGAGCTTGGTGCGCAGTTCCGACACTGCTACGCCGTGGCTGGTCAAGATGTTGTCCAACCATGCTTGACACGCACCACCAGATCGGTGGTRCAAGCACGGATGTCGATCGTTGTTCGGGACATGGTGCATGTCGAGCCTGAGAGTAAACTGGCGCCACCACGGGATCAGTTCCGTCTTGGACTGATCGCAGAAAACGGGAATGTCATCCAGCTTGGGTGGTGTGGCGGCGGGCGTCACGGTGGCAGCAGCCTGGACCTGCGTCTCCAACTGCAATTTCGTTGCTTGCTGCGACGTCCGGAAGTCCTGATGCACACGCTTGATATTGCTGACGTCATCCTCCAAAACTTGCACACTGGTGGTAAGGGTGGAAGGCCCTGCGGCTGCTACAGCACCTGGCTGTTTCTCCAACGCCTGCAGCCGTGCGAACATCTGGTCCACTGTCTGCTGCAGGTGAAGGATTTCCTCCTGCTGCAGAGCGTAGGTGGCCACGAGGTCGTGGGAGACCTGCGCAAGGGCTGACAGCCCTTTCTCAGTCTCCGGGGCGCCGTCTGTAGATGTCACTTCCACCCAATGTGCGGCCTC